AGTGGCAGTCGCATGAATATTTTACTGAGAAAGTTGGTAAAGAAATCTATTGAGTAGATTCGTGTTGCAAATAGCGGGACCAACAACGATATTAATATAAGAACCATTTTTTGAAGTTAGATTATCAGAATAAGTAATAAATAATAGATTACACTAGTATCATTATCAAAAAGAAAGTGGAGGCGTTTGCACATTTATTTATGGTTTTTAATTCATGTCATAAATAAATAATATGAACAATGATTCTCTTCTTTTCTTTTCCCTCTTCCCCTTCCCCCTTTTCTCGTTATGTCTAAGTAACAGCAGAAACATGCCAATGATATATTTCTCCAAGGTGTTCCTATCGCTTCTATTTTCTAGGTATACCTAGCCAAAACACTGGTCATTTTACCATATCTTACGATGGATCTTTGATGGCTATGATTGCCCGCAGCTCACAAGTGTTTGTTTTTTCTGTAGTGGTAAGTCCCCTTTCCGACAACTGGGTCTACCGCCTAGGCTTGAAGTTCACTTTAGTCGATGGAGTTGGTGAAAACGCTATCTGCTTCCGCAAATGTTACATCTCTACAATTTCTACCGTACTCTAACCGAGAATTATGGGCAATTACAGGTGTGGCGTTGACGCACAAAGTAACTCATATTAAATTCAATAATATATCATTCAGTTTGTCTTCCATTATAAAACCAGTAATTTTAGAATGCAGATGGTTAAAATTTTGGGGATTTACGCTTTTCTGTATTGAACGTTCCCAATCATGTTGCCTAAAGCCTAATAGAGTTATAGTAGGATAGTAATGCAAAAAATCGATGGTTTTACGGTGAAGGAACTCTGTTTAATCTCATTGGATGAGTTTTTTGTGAAAACGTTGTTCAAGAGCCCTATATGAGAAAGACAAGCAGTCATCGTATCTTATCTGAAGATTTCATCAAGAATATCTTAAGAAACTAATATATACTACAGCAACACGTTTGAAATATCAATAAATCTTCTTTTATATTCGCAAAGTAAAAAGTCTTAGCCTTTCATAAAAAGCTCTAGTTACGCAAACATCATCATTTTCTTAATAGGGCATCATTTCGAAGTAATCAGCAGAGA